GCCCAGGCCCACTGTCCTGTGGTTTGTGTTCCTTTGTGTGGTCTCATTTTTCTTGAGTGGTCACACTTTTTATCCAGGAGGAAGAAGTTACAAGGGGGTGGGTTTTCAGGGGTCACCGTTGACGGTCCTTACAAGAGGAAGTGACATCTCACTTCCTTTCCCAGGAAATTGCCCCTGTAGTTTGTCCAAGTCAGGAAGCCGCACAGAAAGAAGTTGAAAGTCCTCAATTAAGTCGCAGTGCTGCCCCCAGAGTCGCAGAAAGAGGCAGCAGGGAGAGCAAAAGTTAAGCATGCATTGTATCTGCTGTTGGCAGACATTCGGTGTGGTTATAGGTAGCATGGGGGGGGGGGGATACAGGGAAGGGATCCACTCAGAGAACAGCTGGAAGAGAATACATCCTGGGGTGGGGGGAGTTGACGGGAGAGTAGGTGTGAAACCCATTATGGGTTCCACTGAGGTGCAACTTCAACTCAACAGGCATTACCAGTACGTGACAGGCATTCGGTTTATCTGCAAGGGACGTAAGTATCACTCTAAGCTAGAACATCCAACTAAGGATGGAGGGCCTCCAGACTGTGAAAATGAAACTCAGGTTGACTCTGGGGCTTCCTGGGCATGGGGCCAGAGTGTCCAGTTGGGTCAGGTGGATGGACATCAAAAGAGACTCACAGACAGAAACCAGCTGTGGATTGGTCATGAGAGACAAGAAGACTAACACCCTGGAGACGTGAAAGCTTGGTCGCCTGCATGTTTCTTGGATCAGGAAATCTGTCTAAGAGAGAAGTGTCAGGCTTGCAAATGGTGGCACTGCTCCCTTCTGCAAGTGAATGCCAGAGAGGAGTGAGGAGAGTAAGGAAGGAGAAAGCCCTCATGATGGTGCGTGAACCCACCCTGCAGCAGCTGCCGCAGAAGGAAGGAAAGTGGCCCTTGTCCTCACAGACTGGCCCACGGGGGCCTAAAGGAGCCCCCTGGCTTGTGGCCTCACAATTGGCAGAAGTCTTAAAGACATGGCAGGGTGCTACCCTAGCCAGAGTGCCTCAGCGGTCTCTGAACCAATCTTCCTGTCCTCCCAAGCTCCAACATAAGTGACCGTGAGAGTCAGCACAGAGAGTTTCTGTCCCTATAGGCCACAAACATGCTGTAAAAATGGTCCAGGGAAGGCAGGTGATGTGGAAGGTGACAGACTTTACCAGGACATGAAAGCAAGGGAGAATTTGCTGAAATACACTATAGAAGAGGGTAGACCAGGTCCCAGTGAGCGTACCACATGACCGAGAGGGGACAAAACTGGAGGGAGAGGTGACTTAATCTTATTGTGAGAAGCCCAGATCTGAGGGTTTCTAAGACAGGTCTCACTAAGACTTGGGGCTTGCTGATTGGTTATACATTGATCATGGGCCCTAGGGATCCTCCGGTCTCCACCCCCACACCCCACAGCATAGAGATTATGGGACTGTACCACCTGCCTTCTGAAATTCAGATGCAGAGGAGTAAACTAACAGCCTCAAGCGGAAGCAGCAAGTACTTCACCGACTGAGCTATGTCCCCAGCCCCTGGACCTGATTTCTAATGACCCATGGCTCCTTACTCAAATGGACAGTCTCAAGAAGACAACTCCCATTGTAAAATGTACTTCTCTCTCTCTCTCTCTCTCTCTCTCTCTCTCTCTCTCTCTCTCTCTCTCTCTCTCTCTCTCTCTCTCTCTCTCACACACATACACACCCCTGTGTGTGCATCTAGGCACACAGGAACACATACATGCATGCACATTTACAAAAAAGAAAACTTGTTAAGACTATTCGTGTGTGACTGTGTGAGCATAAGCACACATATATGTAGGTGCCCACGGCGGCCAGAGTTACAGGGGTCTGTGTGCCACCTGGCATGGGTCCTAAGAACTGAGCTCAGGTCTTTGGCAAGAACAGCAAGGACTCCTAACTGCCGCCCCTCTCTCCAACCCCAAATTAATTTACTTTCAAAGCTACTGGAGGTGGCCTCAGGTGCCTAACCACCAGGCTTAACAAACTGTTTCCAATGCTTGAAACCCACACGGTTTAAAAGGAAATTCAGCTTCTAACCTCCACGCATGTGCCATGCTGTCAGCCCCAATCACCACACAAAATAGATTAATTTAAATGTAATAAAAAATTTAAAAGGAACTCAGACTCTGGGTTTTATGTGCGACATCACAGGTCAGGTCCCAAATGGCTGTGGCCTAGATATTAAGTGTAATTTTGACTGTAGTTGTAGCCTTCTGTCTTTATGTTGAGCGCCTCCATGTGCTCTAAGTATTGGACACTTTGTTTGTCACTGAGCAGTGGGTGGCACTCATATCCCACCACCCTACCCTCCTGTCCTGCATCTCCAAGATTTGGTCTAGCCTGGTCTGCACACTCTGGGCGTGGTGGGTCTTCATCCTCACTGCCCACTCTGGCCGGCATGTCATGAAGCTGTTCTAAGCCTTGACTGTCCCATCTGGACAATGGGCACAGAGGGCTCTTTGCTATGCTCTGCAGAGATGTCACAGCTCCAAGGAAGCAAAGGGCATGCCTCTTGTGTGAACACATCTCACAGGCCCCCGCCCAGGTTCCCATCAAAGCTCATGCCTACTCTCGTTTTACGACCTTGGAAATATCTTTGAAGTAAGGATGCAGGACTTTTGAATGGCAGAGCAATGGCTCCAGACTCACAGAGGAACTGACATGTGAGCCTGTGTGTGACAGCTCAGCTCCGTGCCACGGATGTGGGGAGAACTTAATCACTTTACTATGGTTTTGAGCGGTTTCCATGTTAACCAAGACGTGGGAAAGTAAACAGATGGCTGTGAGTCGACAGACCTCAGACCAATGTCTCTGAAACACAAAGGAATGTCCAACCTGCTTCTGGGGCTTCTTGCTCAATGGCGATTGGTACCAAGTGGGAAGCAGAGAGGCACTGGTGTATCTGAAGTTCATCCTCCAGTCCAGTCCTCCTGGCTGTGCAACTCTGGGCAAGTATATCACCCTCTCTGAGCCTCCTTAACAGTTACGTGTGGCAGTGGGATTAGAGGCTCTATTGCTAAGAACCTGGAAGCTCTGATAGTCACAGACTCTTCATAGCAGCAGTGGCCCAGGACAGAGGGTGTGGCTTCCCTAAGGGCTCCGGGTCAGGGCCCTTGCTCTGTGTGGAATCTAGATTCTGTTGCCCAGAACAGCCTCTCCTGGTGCCTGGAATTCCACCAGGAATGACTCATGCCTCTGGGAAGCCACTGGCCTCTGTCCACTGAGCAATAACAATAATAGTCTCCTGTGGTGGCTTCTCTGCCCAGAGCTTTCACACTGTGGTCCCAGCACTGCTGAGAGGAGGCAGGTAGGAAAGGGCAGCCAGCATCAGATCAGGAAGCCACATACTCAAAGCTGCAGAGCAAGTACAGCCCAGACTAGAGCCTGGACTCTGCTGGCTTCTTGGCCAGTATCTCCCCTCCACACACACAGTGCTTTTTAAAAAGCTATATAGAACAGATAACCCATAGAAGCTACCCAAATGTCCAATGGCCAATGAATGGACAACCAAATGTGGTATGTCCATACAATGGAATATTATTCTGTCTTGAAAAGCAAGGAAATTCTGACCAATGCTACAACATTCTGCTAAGTGAAATAAATCAGCCACACAGAAACAAACACTGGATGATTCCAGTTAAACAAAGAATTTAAAATAACCCAATTCAGAAACATTGAAAGTGAAATTGCCAGGCCCTGGGTGAGGGCAGGGGCACAGTTATTATTTGACGGATACAAAGTTTCAATCTTGTAGGAGGAAGAGTTCTGTGGGTGGGTGGACACCAAGTACTTAATGCCACCGAACTGTACTTTTGAAAGTTAAGGTGGGATGGGACACATTTCAGGGTGCAGCACATTCTCACTGTGGGTGAGGACCAGGCTTCAACTCCTAACACACAGAAAAACCGAAAAGTTAGGGCAGTAAAGTTACACTCTGTACACACACACACACACACACACACACACACACACACACACACACACACACACACACACGCATGTGTAGAGGTCAGAAGTTGACATCAGGTGTCTCCACTTCTCATTTTTTGATGCAGGGGCTCTCACTGAATCTGCAGCTGCCTGCCTCTGTTTCTGCTCCCCTGGTGCTAGTGTTTCTGACTGGTGCCACCAGACCTGGCTTTTCTCAGAGGTCCTGGGGATCTGAACTAAGGTCCTCGTGTTTGTGCAGCAATCACTTCACCCACTGAGCATCTCCCAGCACCAAGATTGAAAGGTTTAAAATGGTGTTCCCAAGAGTAAGGTGGTAAGCCTTAGAATTCCAAAGAACATGCACCATCAGCGGGTAAGGGCTCTGGCCATGCAAGCATGAGGACCTGGTTCTATCCATAGAACATGACAGCACACATCTAAAACCGTAGCATTAGAAGCCAGGGAGATGCAGACCCCAAGGGCTCACTGTCCAGCTAGCATAGCCAAAATGCTGAACTTCGTGTTCAATGAGAAACCCTGACTCACAAATTAAGATGGAGTGTGACAGAGAAAGACACCTGATGCTGAACTCCTGCTCCTACCTGGGCATATGTGCCCACACACTACACAGCACAGCACAATAACACACACACATACACACACACACACACACACACACAGAGAGAGAGAGAGGCAGAGACAGAGAAAAGAGAGACAGAGATGGACAGACAGAATACCTTAGTTTATCATGATTTATATCTGTTAGGACAAGCTAGGCCATGCTGCTGTAACAAACATCCCCCCTCAAATCTGAGTTTAGCATCAGACAAGTATCCCTGCACCATACTGCCCTCACATCATACTGTATCTACTTCTTCCTTTCTACCCTACGACTCCCTGTCTGCACCCCAAGCCCAGGATAAATCCACTGGCCCTGAAGCTCACTCATTCAGCTAGACTGGAAGGCCAGCAAGCCCCCAGGGTCCCCCATTAACTAGCTGGTTAACTTTTCTCAACACAGTGGCTCACCTGGGAAGCAGGGACAATCCCTCTGAGACAAGAAGTCAACGTGGATGGGAGCAGTTAGCATGAGGGCCTGTAGTCTGACTGTCCGTGTTTGAAGTTCAGTGCAGACTCTGGCACCCAGGTAGCAATGGCAGAAGCTTCATCTCCTGCCAGCAGGGCCCTTGGCTTGCCGAAGCCAGGAAGAAAGCCTTGCTCCAGCCAGCCTTGCGTCAGGGCTGGGGAATGGGTGGGATGGAGCCAGAGGCTGCAGGCAGTTGTCTCACGCCAGCCTGGAATACTTCCTCCCCAGGAATCTGTTTTCAATCAGTTGGTCTTTTTCCCCCTCTCTCAGTCCGACCCTGCCAAGGAACAAGCATGCAAACCAGTGTCAGCTCCCGCCTGGCTAACAGGAATCCCTTGGAATTTCTGCTTTTTAACATGGGACCCTGCCACCCACCACGGGCGTTCTTAGTCTCCACACCTGTGTACCTGTCCCCCACCATGCTAGCCTGTCTCCTTTGTCCAGGCCCATTCAACCCATGCCCAAGGCTAGGCCTTGGACCCTCTCCTGCTGCAGTCTCTCCCATCTTCCCTCTGCCAACACAACCCCCCAGTCTCATCTTGTGGGGGCCAGGGCTCCAGTCCCACCTTCTCCCGCTGTCTTTTGAGGACGGGACACTGGCACCCACCTCTCTGAATGATCTCAGATGATCATGTGTTGCTAAAGCACTTCCATGGCCACCGTACCAATGAGAGAAGTTGGTAGACCTCCCCCTTTGACAGATGAGGAGCCAGAGGCAGTGAGTGGCAGGTGTGGGGGTGGGGTGGGCAGGTCCGGCTCCCACTCACTCCCTCTGCCCCTCCCTGTTGAGCTGAGCACACAGGGGCTGCTCCCTCAGGAGAGGAAGGGCAGAGGGGTGGAAATCGGCAACTCTCTGAACTTGTTTTCTCTTCTAGACACACACTGAGTCTGGACCCACAGTGGGTCTGCATCTTGACCCCCACCCTGTGCTGGGAAACCCAAGCCTTTGTGGCAGACATATCAAAGTGAGTCCAGGCTCTCTGTTGCTAAAGCAATGCCGCTTTGCTCCCCCAAGTATGTCTTGACCTTACTTGTGGGTCTCCTTGCTCAACGGTGTGCTAGAAGAAACCTTGTGCTAACCCTGAGGGAGCCCAGGCCTCAACCTTTTGTGTTCTCCTCCTGGCCTTGACAGATGCACACCTCTCTTTCTGGGGTTACCCTGCAAGCTTCCTCCTCAGCCATTGGGAGTCCATATCCCATGCCGGATGTTGCCCCCCCCCATTCCTCCAGCAGCTCCTAGTGGACAGGACAGCCCTCCTCCCCGTATATGTGCATATAGCCCACATTTGATCTTGAAGCTCCACCCATCCCAATCTGATGCCTGACCCCTAGGGCTGTGCCCACAGAGCATCTGTCTGGCTCCTCCCCCTAGCACCTCATGGCCATTGATGGGGAGTGAGGAATTGAAGGTGGGCTGTTGGTCTTTCTCTGTTAGCCATTATGACCTGCTGGGGAAAGGCCAGCCTTCCAGGTTCAAGTGTCTGGTTTCACATCGATAATATTTAAATCACAAAGCCCCTCCCCTTCCCCTCTGGTTCCTTGTTTCTTACTAATTTCCCAGGTGCTGGAGAATCAATCCCAGAGTGTTGCAAGGTTCAAGTGCACTCTCAGGAGGCACACACCAGCCCAGTCTCTCCTTGGTTTATATTGCCCATCATTTCCTGGAAATGCTCTCACCTAAAATACCCAGCATTAAGCTCACTTTCTTCACTTTTAAAGGTCTTCTGAGTAGCCATTATACAGCCAGTACCACCATTCACTCACAGAATTCTTTCATATCTGTAGTGTAACAGGGCTCAGAGTGTGGATCTGTGTAGAGCACTTGCCTGGCGTGCACGAGGCAAGCTGTTCAATCTCTATCGCTGCAAAAACAAACAACCTCACCACCACCGTGTGTGTGTGTGTGTGTGTGTGTGTGTGTGTGTGTGTGTGTGTCATATAGACACCTCGGGTTTTGTAATGATAGGTACAAATTTCACAGTAATAGCACATCTAAATTAGGACCAGCCACAATTCCAGGGCTCGTGGCCAGTGGCTGTTACGTGAGTGAGGACTGATTGAGAAGCTATGGAGGTATTTCCATGTCTGTTACTGCACAAACATTCTTGACTCTGACAGATATTGTCAGATTGTCATTTGTAGGCAGTAGAGCCAGTCGCAATCCCACAGACAGTGCCCAAGCTAATCTCCCTTGGCCAGTCCCACCCTGGGTAGCTTTGCCTGCTGATTAAACAGTGCCAGCTGGGGCAGAGCGGCGTTAAAACACGGTTTTCTTCCTAGGCGCTAGAAGCATCTCTTTCGGTGTTAGAAGGCGTTGCTCTGGCTGTGGACTGTCAGCTTGCCAGGGAGATGGGTGCCTTTCACTTCCTTGCTCCTCTCTCCTTGGAGTCTGGGATGGAGCTGGGGTTGAAGGCTTGGTCCTTCACAATCAGTGAATTCTGCTGGCCAGCATGCTGAATGCTGGGCATTATCTCTGAGGGCATGCCACCCCCTGCTGGCCAAAATATGTTTCAGGTCTCTGACCAGGGCAGCTCGGAACCCAGGGGTGGTGTCTGGATTCCAGGTGAGCACTTCTTCCATCTGGGCTCACCACCTGCCCATCTGTCAAGTGGAAATAGCCAGGATTCCCACTCACAGGTTTGTGGGATGAGTGTTTAGGTAGGTGGTGGGTCCTGAACGCACTCAGAGGATGTGATGGACAGCCAGTGCCGGCCACAGGATGACTGACATTGCTGGCATCGCATCCGAGCTGGCAGTGACCTGATGGCTGAACTTCCGTGGCCCATCGCTCTCCAGCCAGTGTTGAGACCCCAGTTTCGTCTTCTGTGGAACGGCCTCCTCACTGTCAAGCAACGGGCTCAGGCAAACTGGATGCAGAAACCTTCACACCTGTGTAACCCTTCCTAGTGCCCAAGCCAGCAGGGGCCCGCCCTCTCCCCCACACCAGGCGAAGCACACCACATCCATTCAGTGGCCACCAAACTCTCCCTCCGCAATGGACACCTGGCAGTACCTTCCACAGACACGCTTCACAAGGACACTCAGTGAAGCCCAATGCCATGGTTTTGCTGGGTGAGGGACGTGTGTGGACATGCATATTCTGATCCCCACCTGTAGGGAGAGATCTTAGTTACCTGAGCTGCTGACCACGCCCGCTTTGGGCGTGGCTACGGGTGCATAGGGACCTGAAGGGAGAGCATGCTTCTCCCCTGCACAGTCCTTTATTCCCCATGTCCGTATGCACCTGTAGCCACGCCCAAAGTGGGCGTGGTCATCAGCACAAGTTACTAAGATCTCTCCCTTCACCCACCACTGGGCCTGATTCTCTTTGATGTTCAGCTCTTGCCTAAGTGACAATTACATTCAAATCATAGACAACTGCAACCAAAATGTCTTCCTTCTGCAGATTTAATAAACCCTGCAACCATGTGAATGCGTTGGTGAGGTCCTCCGAAGGCTGTGGAAGCAGATGTGTAAGGGGGTGGAGAACTTAAGGGGTCCAGAATCCTCGTTAGTCACCTCCAAGTCCAGCCCCCAGCACACTTCTGACTCTTGCTGGTGGTGTCTTCCTCAACTCTTTCCAACTAAAAAAACCTTTCAGGGAGGGGGGGTGGAGGTTGATAGTATCATCTTCCATCCTAGATTATTTCTGTAATATGGTGATAAAGCACCAGGGAGTTGGTGCAGATATTATATTCTTGTAAAGTACCTGCATGTGAAAATACTCATCGAATGGACTATTGTTATTAGAATTTTTATCTGTCTCTACCTCCCCAGCTTGGAAGAAGCTAGAGCTCTGCTCTCTTTGCCCACTAGAGGGCACCAGACATCCCCAACACGGCCTGCCCGTGCTCTGCACTGGCTAGCATGCCATCAGCTGCAGGATCCTTGTATCTTCCTTCCTGTGTTTCCTCTGCGATGCAATACCCATAACAACACTGCACTGGGCTATACTCAAGATGGAAGGACCTCATTCCCCACCCTACTGTGTTCTAGTTCTTCAACACTAAGCCTACAGCTGGGAGCAGCACCGAGTGCGGAAGAAGCACTTCAGAAGTCTCCAGCCCTACCCTGCTGGGGAGGTTTGCAAGGGAGGCCCTGGCCACCAGACTCAACCTGAAGAAGCAAGTTGAGACATGGTTCCTTTGATGCAGGCACAAGAAGGAACCCAGCCCAGACTCCTGTCCTACCATTCAAGGCATTTCATCACCACTGCCTGAAGCAAGGATGGAGAAACCGGCAGATGGAGAAGCCAGCATCTCTATGATGTCAGGAGGAGACAGATGGAGAAGCCAGCATCTCTATGATGTCAGGAGGAGGCCTTCATTTTTGGTCAGCTGCTTTTACTGGGGCCAGCTCAGGGCCAGGAGGGAGCCCTCCCTGGACACTGACATCCCTGGAATCCTGGTAGATCCGGAAGCCTGGAGGAGGTGTTCAGTCTCTACCTGGAAATCTGGGTACCAAGGTGGAGATGACATGTCACGAAATGAACCAGTCTCTATGGATTCTTGAATCTATGGAAAAGGCTTGTTTCAGAGGATGCAGGGCCACATGTGACTCCCTAATCTGCAGGTGTTAGTTTACAGTTTTCTGTTTTCTGTTTCTGAAAGGGCTCATGTGTCTAGGCTGGCCCCAGTCTCAATGGCCTGATTTGAGACTTTGTTTCGTTTTGTTTCTAGATTTGGATTTGGAGTTTCTACCTCCCAGGTGCTAGGCTAAGCAGTCATTGTTGAGATTTTTTTTTACGAGACAGGGTTTCTCTTTATTGTTTTGGAGGCTGTAGTTGTATGGGAAATTTTTTCCTACATGAGGTATTTTTTTCATTCAATGTTTATTTTGGTTTGTGTCCTAAGTATTTGGGTTTGGGTATTTTGTTTTGTTCTCTTGCGCTTTGAGGCATTTTCATGCACCACACTGCCCTAGAGTTAGCTTTTTGTTGTAATTGTTTACTAATGCTTTTCAACTTGCTTGTTAGGGACCTGTTGGGTTCTCATTCCTGTCAATGGCAAATTGATAATAAAAATTATTAGCCAGGCATGATAGTGCACCCAGCGCTCGGGAGGCAGACACGGGCAGATCTCTGTGAGTTTGAGGCCAACCTGGTCTACAAAGGGAGTTCCAGGACAACCAGGGCTGTTACGCAGAGAAACCCTGTCTCAATAACAACAACAAAAAAAGAAAAAGAAAAAAATATTTGTCGAAACTGAAGAAAATAGGTTTAAAAATTCTGAAAGAAAAGAAAAGCTACTATTTACTGGGGGCGGAGGACTGTCATAA